TGCGATACATGCGCGGATTTTATTTCATAAATCACATGATTTACAAGTTACCATTACATGAACAGTCTAAGCTATCGTTAAATAAACTTATTCTTTATATTTTCAAATATATATATATATATTGTAACATGAAAAAAGATAACGCACCTTACACTGAATTCTAAGTTCCCCATGATATTGGAAAGAAAACAGTGATATCAAGCACAATAAGTGTAATAGAAACTAATGTGAACTTGAGAAGATAGAAACTGTTAGAAGAAAGTCAGATCATGATACAATCACAACAATTGCCACATGACTGGAACATACAAGAATTGATCATGATACTATGAAATCAAACAATAAAATTATATAATAAGAGTAGTGTGAAAATCAAATAGCAATTACTTCATCATGAAAATTTTTAATAGTTTTCCTTAATTTGTATTTATCATTTTTATTATGTAATAAATGTGCAAGAATATATAAAAGAAGGAAGAAATTAAAAAAAGAAAGAATAATGAAGTCCAGTTAGTAAAGTTTTTTCAGCCAACATCAATTCTGTCTTATTATAAATAAAACACTTACTATCGTTATACAAATCTTAACTTCCCATTAGTGACAGACTCACCAATCATCATTACATTTTTGGTGATGACTGTGAAATTCGATGTATCATTATCTCCCCAATATTTTTTTGCAAACACATTTTCCTTTAAAAATACTTTTTCTAATCCCTATTATAAAAAAAAAAAAATTCATTCATTATAAAGACTAAAAATCCTTTTATTTTATCACTTGACATTCTAATTCTACTTTTTCTTATTTACCCTATTTTTTTCCAATATATGGCATAACCATCCAACAAAAGTGCAACAAGAGAAATCGACTGTCAGAGCTCGAAACACTTTAGAACTCCGGAATAGCCAAACAAACAAACAAACCCATGCAACACCCATAATAATATTTAAATAGTAACAGATCTTCAAATTAATGGCATGTAACTACCAGGTTTTTTCAGCAGCTAAATGCTTTGCAAGAACTAGAATATACATAAGACAAAGTAAAAAATCCAAAAGACAGAACATCAGAAAAAGAAAAGAAAGTCTGCTGGATTAGGTTACGACACTTTAAGAAAAAAGCTGGAGAAGATCCATACTGTTGGTTGGAATGCTACAAAAAGGCTGTCAAATTTAATAATTGGCCAAGTAGTAGGAAGCTAAGAGGAGTAAGTTACTACTTGGAAGGAGATACCAAGAAGTGATATGAGAACCATTAGGACCAATTCATCTATTGGGACAAATGTGATGACAAAAAAAGCTTTGTATCAATGTTTGTATAGCATTTTGAAATGCTAGAGCAATGTCGCTGATGGTAAGAAGAATTAGAAACCATGAAACAAGGTAATGAAGAAAGGATGAACGAATATGCCTGTAGGTTCATGGAGCTACTAAGAAAGCTTTGCCCAAAGGAGTATTATGCCAAAAAAACAGTATATTGGTTGCTAATATTTAGGCTATGGAAAGATATATTGTTACAACCAACAGTTAGGAATTCTGTCACATCAGGAGATGTGCTCAGAGCAGCAATGAAAGCCAAAAAAGAAAAGATAATATCTATACTTGCGAAGCAATTTGGGTCACCTTACAGAACAAAAACATCAGTGATAGCACATCTACCTCAATAGAAGAAATAGAACGACCAATGATAGACATGTCAATATGTATTCCAAATAATGTAATTGTAAAGCTTGGAGAGTGTTACGATGAAACTCTGATAACCACTAATAACAAAATGCCAAGGAAAGAAGATAGGTTGCAAATAATGATAACATATGAATACAGAAAGAAAGTAGCAAAAAGTTACTCCAATAAGACTGCAAAGGAATTCTCCAACAATGCTAAAGCTACAGCAGCCAAACTTAACGAAAAAAACAATGTTGAGTTGAAAGAGTACAACAATAAAGAAAAAATTTCTGATCCATGTAAAAAAATAAAATTTTTACAAGAACCAGAAAATGATGACCCTAGTAAAATTCCAAATGAACATGGTAGCATGCCAATAGGACTAGTATATAAAAACATGAAACCTACCAGTAGCAAAACCCTGATGAATGTCGACACCAGGAAGTTAGGATAAGAAGACAATGACATGATAGCGAGACTAATAAATGAAATACTGAAATTCCCCAATAATAAGACAGACATGGAGAAACATCTAGATGAAACAATAGTCAACTATCCTAGCAAGATCCTGAAGGAATATTTTAACAATGATGAAGCTCTAGCAGCTGAAAACTATAAGAGAAACAATAATATAAACAAATGGAAGAACAAGCAGAAAGAAGCCGATAGATTAGTTAACCAGAACCTAGAAAAAAATTATCATTAGAAGGAAGTGATATACCGACTTGAAGACAGAACATCGTATGATAAAGTGGAAGGGAATCTTAATGAGAAGATTTGCTCAGAGCTGCTAAGAAAAGTTGTACTAGTAGATAATTATATAAAGAAGATTGATAAAATGAACCTAGCAGATGATGAAAAAAATGAAGGACAGAAATTAACCTATGACAAGATATTAGTAAATAATGATAGACCTATAGAGTTTGAAGTTAGCCCAAGGGATACACACAAGATATAAGAAATGGATAGTTCAGGAGAAGATGACAGATTAGCAACCAATCGTTTTCACAATAGGATAAATAAACAAATGGGAGATAAGTTGCAACTTACTGTGAAAAACAGCAAGGGAAAATGATATGAAAAGTTGGACATGGGAATGACAGTCACACTAACAGACCTATCTAGCATAAAAAATCCACCAATTCCAATGGACCATCGAGACCAAGAAGGAGGGCTCAATGTGAATATTGGAAATGGAAATAGAAATCATGACACCACATCAATAAACTCCGACATACTTGTGAAAAAAGAATTTGAAGCTAGTAAACATGAACACATGATGAAAGAACAATGAAACTGGGATGACGAAACAACTATAACATGTCTAGTGGAGAATACATATATGATAATACTAATGTATGCGCCTGTGGAACAATTGTCTGACATCCCTGCTCTATATCAGAAAGTCACTAAACAAAAACAGATCGTAATATGATGGAGGTTAAAATTTGAAGGCTATCACATTAGGCCATATTATCATTACAGAGAAAAGCTTTAACAACAAGACTGAACAAGCAACAACATCAGGGTGACACATGCTATGGTGAGAGCCATGCTGTACTAATACCACATCACAAATCTGAAGACTGCTTAAACAATAAATTGGAAGATCATGTACAAGTGGAAGGAGAAGACAAATGACAACCAACAACTGGCGACTCAACAGATAACAATTGGTTATCACTAAATAAAATGACCACATGACTCTTGATGCGTATCGTTTATGCACAATGGATGGAACTGCCTCTGGATCCTAAAGGCCAAGAAAAAGACACTAGTGTATAATAAGTATAATGCATAATATGCATTACATAAGCATGAGAGAAACTGTAATATAGGAAAAGGTAATGCATCTCATATTGAATTCTAAGTTCCCCACGATATTGGGAAAAAAACAATGGTATCAAGTATAATGAGCGTATTAGAAACTAGCACAAACCTGAGAATATGGAAACTGTTAGAAGGAAGTCAGATCACGATACAATCACAACAATTGCCACGTGACTGGGACATGCAAGGATCGATCATGACACTATAGGATCGAACAATAGAATTATGTAATAAGAATAGTGTGAAAATCAAATAGCAATTACTTTGTCATGAGAAATTTTAATAGTTTTCCTTAATTTGTATTTATTATTTTTATTATGTAATAAGTGTACAAGAATATATAAAAGAAGGAGAAATTGAATAAAGAAAGAATAATGAAGTTTAGTTAGTAAAGTTTTTTTGACCAATATCAATTCCATCTCACCATAAATAAAACACTTACTATTGTTATGCGAATCTTAACTTTCCATTAGTGACAGACTCACTGATGACTGTTACAACATATATATATATATATATATATATTTTAAGTAGGTAAATATCATCACTTTATTAATTATAAAATTGTTTAAAATTTATACATGGAGAAAGCAACAACATCTCTCATATAACTTGCTAAGCTAATAAGTCTAATGCGAACTTGCCTATAGAAACTATCTAAACGACATGAAAAATAAATATTAAAACCAATGTACATCTAAGATAGTGCCAAGCAGCTATAAATACCTACTCAGGATTATATGAGATGAAATTTAAAAAAATATAAAAGTGAAAAAAGAAAATGCTAAACAAAAGAAAAATGACAAAAAAACTAATTATAATACAAATGAAGTCTAATGTCATACTAGTGATTCCACCCCTGAAGTACTGTTGCACTTTCTGGAATGGCCAGGCTATAACTCATAGTATATAACAGTGTTGATGATACATCCTTTTGATAGCCATTTCTTGAGTCATTGTTAATAGTAGTGATAATATAGTTGTTTGTGTTTAGATATTTGATAATAATCAGAAAAAAGATGAAAAAAAAACTGATTATTATACAAAGAATGCCTTGGATTAGGCATACTATGCTGGTTGATTTATTTAACTGAAGTAGAATGCTATTTCCAGAAATGGCCAGGCTATTGTCCAAAGTAAATAATAGTATTATTGACATATTATTTAAATCATATGTTGTTGTTGTGATTGTTAATATTTTTGTTGATATATTAATTGGTTTATTTTTTGGTGATGTAATCTTATTTTGATTAATACTGCCAAAATAGGATTTGTTTACATGGATCATTGTGTAGTGTTTTGGTTGTACAGAATTGCTTTGAGATTTGGTAGTATTTGATTGGTTGGATTTGAAATATTGATCAGTTGACAGGAGTATACATGTGGTGTAAATTATTTTGCTGTTGACTCAATTCCCAAAATCTTCAAAAATAATTGCGTCATGACTCAATT